AAGAAAAATAACTTTATTCTGGGACTGGTGACCCCTAAGAATAATTTACATGAAATAAATAAAATAAGTTCCTTCTATGAAGTTCAAAGTAAAAGAAAGATGTATACCAATAAGGCAGGTCAGAAGAAAAAATTACGAGAATATTAAACAAAAAAAAAACAAATGTTAACGTGAGGTCTCTGCTTGGAGGGAGAGGAGGTGATTATACAGGTGGGATTTAAAGGAGGAAGGAGGATCTTTCGAAGGTATGCGTTGTATGTTGCGGAAGGATAAGGTCGATTGGGAATGAGCGGGTGTTACGAGTGAGATGTGAGGAGTTGAATTGGAGGGATTGGGTGATGTAAGGAGGACGACGAGTGTGGATGGACTCGAAAAGAAAGCAACCTAGGAAATACTGTGCACGGAAGGAGGGGAATAGCCGGGAAAGTTGGTACAACCCCGACACCCGGGATCCCCGTGGGGTGCCGTACACAAATCTTACGCAACAATTCATAATACGCTTCAATCGCGCGTTCTCTCCTTCCGAGAGACCACCGTATGCCAAACAGCTATAATCGAAGAAGGGAAGTATAAGGGAAGATACAAGGAGTTTGCGGGTGGAGAAAGGTAAGAGAAGCTAGGACCGACGAAACAGGCTGAGGGAGGCAATGGAATGGCGGGAAATTTGGGAAATGTGAGAAAGCCTACTCCTAGGTTTTTAACCGAAGAGCAGAACGGGATGGGATGGTTATTTATCATGAGAGGTGGGATGCTGTGGAGGGAATTGAGGAGTTGCCTGGACCCGATAATTATGGCGGTGGATTTGGACGGATTGAGGACTAGGGAATTTTTATGGGCCCATTCGTTGATGGAGTTTAGGTCTTTTTGGATCTTGAGAATGGCCGAGTGAAGATCGGAAGGGTGGAAGGATATAAGTATCAATTAAACAGAAAATATTTCAATAACATTGGAGTTATTACATACCAATGGGTGTTTTCTCCATTAATGGTTTTAATTTTGTATATATTACCTTACTCACTGTTACTTGTTACGGTAGTTTTAATATACTTCAAATATATTAAAAAAAGTTATTTATGAAGATTTTCTAAGGAAGAAGAAAACATGATTTGTGGCTTAGGCTGATCTAGATTGTCCGAGGTACAAGTTGTTTAAATCCCCAGTTTTCCATTCATCACTGACTTCTGCAGATACATCCAGTTAGTATACAAATAAATTAGTGGTTTCAATACGACAGAAGAAATTTAAAAAAAAATAGCTGATAGTTAACTAATAGCAAGAGTTAAATAGAAACCTTCCTTTTTTTTCTGCGACGAGTCGGCTTAATTTTGTAATATTTACTAAAACACAACTCACTGCACTTGCGATTTTTAATTAGCACAGTGGTTAGATTTAGCATTGACCAATTTTCTAATCTTCAGTGATCCAACACAGTTCTTCTTAAGTGGCGCTTATGATAATTCCTTCTGAAGACTACCATTTTCCAAGAGAACACTTACAAGAATAAAGGTAAGGTAGAATTTAGGCCGTTTTTCAGGAGCTGGCGATCTATGGGGCCGCAATAACATATTTTTAACCTGACCTAGAAAAAGTTGGCTGAAATGGTCCGTTAGTCACCCGGGATCGAGGGGAGGGGAATCTTCTCAACGGGAACACGTGGGCTCAAGGGATCCCCATCCTAGATTTCACCCTTCCTACTTTTCTAGGACGTTGCGGAATCGGCCTGTTGTGCATTCATTCTGGTTATTCAAATTCGACTTCGCAACCGAAAGGCGAGGCCAGAATCACCACTCTGGAAATTACCTCTCCCTCGCGTTCCCAATGCAATTGCTTAACAGGTTAACAGTGCTTAACAGGCCTATTGATAATTGAAAGAGAGGGGGAGAAAGAAAAAGTAGAGAAGAGAGTCATGATAAATGAATTGACAGTAAGAAAATTATAGGGGACAAAATGAAAATAACAGAAAGAACAGGCGAATGGGCAGGAAAAAATTACCGGAAAAAGAGAATAAAGTTAGAGAAACAAAAAAGAGAAAAAGAGAGGTAGTGAGAGATGACGATGATGATGATGAACGCTTTATTTATCAATCACACAAGATTTGGTCTCAAGGACTATTCTTACATGTGAAATACAATGGTTACTCAGTTTACTCCACTTTATTATTTCGAACATTAATTATTTCGAATAACCGCATGTTTGGTGGGCAATATGTTACATCTTTTCGTTTTATATTAAAGTACGTATCTATTTACTTCAAATTGCCTATTAAAATAAATATTCTAATCTACAGAATAATTGAGCAATTAAAAAGTAAATTACTAATAAAATAAGTAAACAAAAATATTTTTTCAATACAATTCAGTACAAATCATGAATTGCCAATATAAATCTAGAAATGAAACTTCTACCACTAAATACTAATATAAAAAACTAAAACAAAACAACAAAAGAAGTTAAATTTAATACAAAAAGGGAGTAAGAGAAGTAGATGGATAGATAGAGAGGGAGCGAGAGGGGGTGATGGAGAGGGAGAGAGAGAGGGAGAGAGAGAGATGAATAGCCAGTAAAAGTGATTATAGGCTACAAGGAGAAGAAAGTGAAAAAAAAGGAGAGAGAGAGAGAGAGTTTCACAGATGAATGGGCAGTAAAAAAATTATAGAAAAAAAAAGAGAAGAAAATCAGAGAGCGAAAAAGAAAGAGAATGAGTGAGAGAGAGAAAGGGAAAGAGAAAGAGAGAGAGAGAGAGAGAGAGAGAGAGAGAGAGAGTGAGAGAGTTTCACAGATGAATGGGCAGTAAAAAAATTATAGAAAAAAAAGAGAAGAAAATCAGAGAGAGAAAAAGAAAGAGAATGAGTGAGAGAGAGAAAGGGAAAGAGAAAGGGAAAGAGAAAGAGAAAGAGAACGAGAGAGAGAGAGAAAGAGAGAGAGAAAGAGAGAGAGAGAGAGAGAGAGAGAGAGAGAGAGAGAGAGAGAGAGTTTCACAGATGAATGGGCAGTAAAAATATTATATTGGGTTGTCCGGAAAATAATGCAGGATTTTGGTATTAAACAAAANTGAGTAATCCTGTAAACGTAAACAGAATATTTTATATAGATTTTTTTTAATGAAAACTTAAAATCCTGCATTATTTTCCGGACAACCCGATAGAAAAAAAAGAGAAGAAAATCAGAGAAAGATGAATGAGTTAGAAAGATGAATGGGCACTAAGAAAATTATAGGCTAAAAGGAGAGGAAAGTGAGAAAAAGGAGAGAGATAGAGAAATGGAGAGAGAGTGAGAGAGAGAAAATGGAGGAGAGGTCATGATAAATGAATCGACAGTAAGAAAATTATAGGGGCAAAAAGGAAAGCAACAGAAAGTGGAAGATTGGGCAGGAAAAAATTATCGGAAAAAAGGAAGAAAGTTAGAGAAACAAGAGAGTGAGAGAGAGAGGGATAAAGCGAGAGAGAGAGAGAGATGGATAGAAATAGATGAAAGTATAGAGTTAGATAGATATATAGAAAGAGAAAGAGAGAAAGAGACTCACAAAGAGACAGAAAGTATAAGTAGAAAAATGAATAGACAGATAGAGATAGATAGATAAATAGCGATATATATAGAGAGAGAAAAACATACATAGATAGGTATAGACTACCACAAACACGCAAAAAAAATTAATAAATTATATTAATAAACAATTTGTGAAACCCAACATGCACCTAATAAAAATGAACAAGAAAAAAAAATTCAATGAAAAAGTCAAACAAAAAACATAGAGAGAAACTAGAGAAAGAGAGAGAGCGAAAGAGAGAGAGAGAGAGAGTGAGAGAGAGTTTCACAACGAATGGGAAGTAAAAAAATTATAGAAAAAAAGAGAAGAAAATCAGAGAATGAAAAAGAGAGAGAGAGTTTCAGTGATGAATGGGCACTAAAAAGATTATAGACAAAAACAGAGTAAAGTGAGTGAAAGAAAGAGAGAAGGAAATATTTCATTATAAGAATGTAAAACAGAGCAAATAGGAGAGAGTTAGAAAGATGAATAGGCACTAAGAAAATTATAGGAAAAAGGAGAAGAATGTGAGAAAAAGAAAGAGAAAATAAGAAAGAAAAAGAGAACATAGTTTAATATTAAAATTTGTATTGCAGGTTCCAAAAGTTCCTTATATTATTTACCGTAATTAATTGGACGATTACAATAACGACTGATTTTGCTTTTGCAAAAGGCGTGGAAATAATAAAATACGGAGATTTTCGAGAGTTGCCGGATCAGCAATGAGATAAGTAAAATAAAAAGGGTAAACATTTTATAGTTGGAAAATTGCGGCCACGAGCTGGGTTAACGGCGATGAACAAATTTTTTATTATTTTCTTCGGTCGTTACCTAGACCCCGTAAATTTTATTATACAGATAAATGAACTGTTTTTTAACAGCATTCCAGGAAGTTATATGCCCAGGAAACAAAGATTATAGCAATCTGACCACCAATTAAAGGCATATTTTAAAAGAACGCCAATTCTCTCGGTGATTTCTTTTTAAACCCTTGTGGAAATTTGGGCAAAAAACGCTTTAAATGGCCTTTCTTATCCATTTAAATCAATTCTTTCGCATTTCAAAGAGAAGTCAAATTAGTCCCTATTTCATTAAACATCTTGATATATATATAACCATAAATTAATTTAAAATCAAATATGAATAAATATAAGATAAAACAAAATAATACAATTTGTGAAACTTATAAGTCAAACAGTTTTTTGAATTTAATGTTTAGGTATTTGAGTTGTTAAATATTTCGACTGTACTTTTAAAATCAAAACATAAATCTGAGTTTTTTCAGGGATTTAAATTGACACCGAAGTACCGAAGACTAAAAGACCCGACGCTAATTTGAGTGTTTCCGAGTAGAGGGCAAAGTTGGTGGGCTGCCCAGGAACCCCGGCCAAAAAGGCTTATCGCGCCTTCCAGGTCCCCTCGGTTCACAGGCTGGCTGCAGTTCAACTATTTGGACCAAGTCCAATTCATTTTGAAGTGAGACAGTGCAGAGTTTGGACTTGTCACGGGGACTTGACGTACGGAAGTGAGATAACCTTAAAGTATGAAACCTACCGCCATTTTGTTTTATTGTAATTACTTTATCAACTTATTTTATCGGTAACAATTATTGGTAAAGTTTGAAACAATGAAAAAAAAAAATTTAAGTATAATATTATGTAACTGTAGTAACTGAGCTTAATGGTAAAATAACCTTAAATTCTGAAACCTCTCGCATCAGTTTACTACGAAATTATGATGCGAATGTAACTTAGGTTATACAACTTTAAGGTAAACAACTTTTTAGTACAAGATTATACTACCAGAATAACTTAGGTTATTGGTAGCACGATTATAATGGTTGAAATCTATAACCTCCATCGTGAATTAGGTTATAATTTAAGTACATACGTGACGTAACTTTAAAGCATGATACCTCACGCAATTTTATCTTACATAATAAAGTAAAAATTATGTTTCTAAGAAACAGGTGGTAACCTCCAAGAACTTTTTTGTACATGACTATGCTACCAACATAACTCAGGTTATTTGAAACACAATCGTAATAGTTGAAATCTATAACCTCTATCGTGAATCAGGTTATAATATAAGTACATACGAAATTGTTATAATATAAGCGGGAAAAAACCTACCACCATTTTGTTTTATTATAATCATGTTATCAACTTATTTTATCCGTAACTTGGTGATTTGAAACAACTAGTAACTTTTTTGAAATTATAAAATTATGTAAATATAGTATAGTAACTGACCTTATTGGGAAAATAACCTTAAATTCTGAAACCTTTAGCAACCTTTTAGTATGAAATTATGATGTGAACGTAACTTAGGTTATTGGTAACATAACCTTAATCGTTGAAATCTTTAACCTCTAACGTGGATCAGGTCATAGCATACCTGACAAAACCTTTAAACCATCATACCTCACGAAATTTTGTTTTACATAATAAATTAAAAATTATGTTCCTAACAAAGCGTAGGTATGGAACCATGACCTTTAATGTTTAAATCTTCCGGTAATTATTCACTAAGATTTGCTTGTTCGATTTATTTCGCGTCAATTTTCATAAACAGGTGGTAACCTCCAACAACTTTCTAGTACAAGATTATGCTACCAGCATAACGTAGGTTATTGGTAACATAACTTTAATGGTGGAAACCAAAACAATTACGCAATAAAATATTTGTGTTGCCAACTTGGATCGGGTTATAAGTAACATAACCTTAATGTATGAAGCCAACCAGCCATTTTTTATTCACAGCAAAATGTACGCTTAGTTTAGTAATGTAATTTAGACTTTAGAAGGATAACTTTACTGGTTAAATCCTTCAATAATTACTTAAGTTTTGTCTGTTTAATTGTTTTCCCCCTTAGCGTTCGCAAACAACAAACTTTTGTTTTAGGGAATTAAGATGTGGCATTAATTATGTATGTTTTTTGGTATTATTTTCTGTACTTTTGAGAGTTTGTAGTATCATTTTATAAAGGAGCTAAGCGTCGGACACCTCCATCGCATTTGTTAGCAAAGGCGAGGAAAAAGCTTTACCTGCGAAAAGCAAAATGGCTTCCCGATCTCCGCAGCCGGGATTGGTTCTTGTAGGCGCCTAATTTGATTTACTAATCTGGTTTTAATGTTTTTTTCCTGCTGAGAGTTCAATTCTCACTGATTGGCCTTTTTCCAATACCGATCCAATTTGAATGTTTCCAATTTTTTAACATTTTATTCATCAAGAGTTTTCTGTTTAGACGTCTTGCACTTGCTGTAGATAATAAGAAAACGTGTACACGAGCAAGGCAGAGGAAATACATACATACCAGAATTAAACTTTTGGTAAAACCTAGAACGTAACAAACTTTACAAGATAATTTGAACAAATATCGTTCTTTCAAGTACTTGTTAATTTGTGATTTCATTATATACTTTAACTAATTGTACCATTTGATTTAAAAAAGTGTATGGTATCGAATATGTACGCGAACACGCAGCTCTCTGCGTTTTCAAGTAAATGGCCATGTTACATGCTCCGAGTTTGAAAGGGCACACGCTCTTTAAAACGTGACTTCGGTTAAAAGCTTTTGGGTGAATTCATAAAGGATAATCTTGGAGGTTTGGTCTGAAGATATACTATCGAAACAATATATTTAACAATAACAAGTATAAGATTATGTTACTAGTTTATTGGTAAAATAAAATTAATGGCGGACACCTCTAGAAACCTTTTAGTGTGAAATTATGCTACCTCCATAATTTACGTATTTGTAATATAACCAGCAATTACGCAATAAAATATTTGTGTTACTAACATGGAGTAGGTTGTAATATAAGTGTCATAACCTTAATGTACGAAATGCCATCTTTTTTATAAATACGTTTAAGATTATGTCACTAACAAAGCGTAAGTATGGAACCATAACCTTAATAATCAAATCTTCCAGTAATTACTCAGTAAGTTTCGCCTGTTTGATTATTTCTCGAGTTAGTACTTTAATAATACATATATGAAATTCTATTACTAGCAAAATAATACATTATTGATAACAACTTTTTTTAGTTTAAGATTTTTACTAGCTTATTAGTAACATAACCTTAAGCGGTCACCTCCACAAACCTGTAAGCATAGGATTATGCTACCAACTTAAGTTATGTTATTGGTAATAATAACCTTAATGTTTGAAACCTCCCGCAATTACGCGATAAGATATTTGTGTTGATTACGCGGATTAGGTTATAAGTGGCATAACCTTAACGAATGAAATCGCCATTTTTTTCATAAATAAGTTTAAGATTATGGCACTAAGACAGCGTAGGTATGGAACCTTTATGATCAAATCTTCCAGTAATTACTCAGAAAGTTTTGCCTGTTTGATTATTTCCCGAGTTAGTACTTTATTAATACATATATCATATGAAATTGTGACAAAACAATGCAACTTTTTTTTAGTTTAAGATTATAGTACTAGCTTATTAATATTTTAGTATGAAATTATACTACCAACATAACTTAGGTTATTTGTAATATAACCTTAATGGTTGCATCATCCAGCAATTACGCAATATAATTATTTGTGTTAGTAACGTGGATTAGATTGTAATATACGTGGCATAACCTTAATGTATGAAACCGCCATTTTTTCATAATTAATTTTAAGATTATATTTCTAACAAAGAGTAGGTATTATAACCTTAATGATCAAATCTAACCACTTTTTTTAAGTTTAAGATTATGTTACTAGCTTATTAATAATATAACCTTAATGGTGGTCACCTCTAGAAACGTTTTAATATGATATTATGCTACGAGCATAACTCAATAAAATATTTGTATTGGCAACGTGGATTAGGTTATAATATCAATGACATAACCGTAATGTATGAAACCAACCATCATTTTGATATCATAATAGAGTATAAGATTATTTCAGTAACGAAACTTAAGTTCTGGCAGTTTCATTAAATCACTGGGTATCAAGTAAAGTATTAGACCTAGTATATAACCTTGTGGCCTCCTGCATTTTTTTGTTTTTAGTTCGGGTTGGTCTTCATGTTTGATTCTACAGAGTCTGTCGGGTAGGAATCGATAATATCTATTGTTTAGGTGACATCCCTTTTATTTTACTGTGCCCTTAATGCCAGACCATGCCGAAAACTTGTGATACAAGTTTGTTTAACTTCGAATGATTTGTCTATTAGGTCAATTACACGGTCAATTTCGTCGACTTTTGAGTGTCCTGTTCTGAATCTAAACCAGTGTTCAGGGGTGATTTTGTATTTTATGCAATGAGTTTTATTCTTTCTACTAATAACTTTCATGAAAAGCATAGACTGTCATTAGTAGCGATATTGGTACTATTTAATCTCTTTCGGCGATTTCCCCGGGGTTTTATCATGATGACTTCTGCGAATTTCCAGATGCCGGGAACATATTTTAGTCTGACTGTAGCATCAAAAAGGTATGTTAGTTTAACTAACCGCTTTTTCGGCAATTTTTTTTTCTTAATATTTCTCCAGTGATATCATGGCACCTTTTTAGTATTTAAGTTTTTAATTGCTTATGCTATCTCTTAAGGTGTAGCTATCTTTATATTTTTCTTCTTTTCTGTTGAGTCAACCTGAACAAATATGACATATCAGGCAATTGCCTAGAGATTTTTTATTGTTGCATTTGCAATTATGGACAAAGTGTTCACTGATTTGTAAAGCACGAGCTGTTTTAGACAGAGAAAAAGGGTGCCATTGGATTCCATTGCACCTGTGCAAGGCTTCGATATTTTAGATGGAATTTACCATTATAATAGGATTACCAGGCTTCCTCGCTTTTATGCCTTCCCTCATCGATCTAGGATCGGATTAATTAAGCTGAATCGTAACTTAAAAAAAAAAAAAAAAAAAAGACCGCCTTATTCAAAGAAACCATGGTAAAAAATGACGTGTCAACGATTTTACATACGACCCAGTTTCTCCCTTATGGCTTCTGAAACTCTTCCGCGTGTAAATCGAAGAAATATAGAATTCATAAATTCACGACTCTCCATCACGTTTTGATCTGGGATCAATGTTCTGTCGTAAATCGCTCATATCCAGAGGGGAAATATTTTATTATCCTCTTCATCGACATTCAGAGAATGTTTGCCCATATCGTAAAAAAATGCGCCACATGCTTTGAACCCGCATGAAACCCCATCACCTATATTTGAACCGGCATTCCAGGTCTAAACCTTTATTTTATAAAAGGCCCCGTGATTCTTATCTGTAATTTATTTAACCATTGAATGTATTTAAACAAAACGTTCTGTTAAGATGCACTTTTTCATGATTGCACCTATTAACTCGTAATCGTACGGCCACAATACAACTGTACCGGAAGAAAATCGGACTAATACATGAAGTTTTAGAATTAAATAAAAAACCGTCAAACTTAGATAAGACCCCATCTAAAATATTCAGTGAATACACCCAAAACTTTCAATAAAAGTCATAGCCACATCATAGTATCTTGGATAGTGGGGCACAAAGGTTTTTGGATGGTGAACGATGGCAGA